TTGATCTTACTTTGCAGAAAAGGGATTGGAAAGTTTTGCACTGGGTGAGGAATGGCAGAGAGGGAGAATAAGATAAAAAAGAAAAGAAAGAAAATTTATTTTATTAGGAGAAATTTTTCAGAACATTTGATAAAGTCTATGACAAATTGTTAGCAAGGGAAATGACCAACACAGTATGATTTGGTGTAGTCGTACCAGGCTCTTTGTAGAAAAGAATGTATCAGCATAGTACCTTACATACAAAGAACACCTTTGCATTGGTTGCTGCAGGAACAATTTAAAGTAGATGCAGCTGGATGCTTGTATCGTTCTTGTATAAACTAAAACTTTAAAACTATGGTGCCTACACTGTCTCAGCTCCCATGACTGGCAGTAATTCACAACCTTCTGCCTTTTAATCCTTGGTAACATCTTTTATCTCAGAGCCTTGCTTTGCTGTGGAATTTTTTGCTGTTTGTTCCCTCTAACTCTGTCAACCATGTCAAGTGAAAAACTAAAGCAGACGGTATGTGGAGACCAGCAGAGTCAAGAGCTCTAGGGAGAGGGTCAGTGGCTGGAAGAATTCTTAGCACCAGAACAGGATGCTCATAAGAGGTGGTATTTAGAGACTGAAAAATCAGATGATACTTTCAGTGCAATGGGAGTCTCCAGTATAAAACACTCATGACTCGATATTCAGCAAGGAAGTTAACCCTTTTATGAACTGGACAATCATACTGGTAACATTTTTTATAAAGTGAACAATGGTGGATAGTGTGAATAAAGTCAAGCTTACCAGTATGGAATTTGCTTAAGGTAAGATACACCTGTGACACCATGTATCCCATGTATAATATATGAAGACTCGGATATCAAGTAGTAAGAGGATAGTCTGCTTCTGAATCTCTGGATCATTAAAGATCTTGTAAAATATGTTGAACATGATGTTTTTCAGTTAATGCATCTACTTACCTTTACTGCTTACCAAGCATCTCCAAGTAGGGTGTTGAGCAATATAAAACTCAGCTGGGTAATGGACAAGTGTAGCTCTGATGCTGCCCTCAGTCTGACTGTGAGGAGGACCCACAGGAGACAGCCATACATGTAAATTCATCCATATAGTGGGCAGACACAGGGAAACCAGAAACTCTTGTGGTCCTTGAATCCATAACAGTATTAAAAATGAAATAAAGTAAAACTTTTGCATGTGTCTGTGTGGTATGGCTGTTTTTGTTTGCATGTGTATGTGTGCATGTGTTCATGCCTGCAGAGATCCAAAGTTGACATCCAGAATCTTCCCTCCATCTCTCTACCTGAGGCAGTGCCTCTTAACTGGACACAAAGCTCTCCAGCAAAGGCAACTTGAAACACACAGGAGCTACCCAGCTTGCCCCAGGGAACCCCTATCTCTGTCTTCCAAACCCTGGAATTATAGGCACGCCACTACATCTACCCTCCATTGCCATTTGGTATAGTTAAATATGTGGTAGTTCACCCTCTTGCTCAAACTCAGTATTCTATTCTTTATCTAGCATATAGCACAGACTCAATAAACTATTGAAATATTAATATGCACTGAATAAAATAGTAACTAAAGAGATTTACACTAGTCAGCCCTACTACTTTACTATATTACAGAGGAGATCCCAGAGCTGAATGGGGTGGCTCACACCTATAACCCCAGCATTTGGGAGGCTGAAAGGCAAGGGTAGGTTGCAGTAAGTTTGAAGGCAGCCTTGGCTGCATAGCAAGTTCCTGAGCAATAGAAGTACTGAGTGGAAAATTGTGTTAAAAACAGGAAGGGTGGGAAAACAGAAAAGGAGGGAGGGGAGAAGGAACAAAGAAGGAAAGGAGAAAAAGAAGAAATGAGGGGAGGAAGGAGCATGCACAAAGGAAGACAGAGGACTAACAATCCAACAATGGCAAGCACGAGAATGGATTATTTGTTTTTAAAAGCTAAGTTGTTCAGGGATAGTGGGAGTGGCGGTGGGGAGAAAGTACATTTTAAAGCTCTAGCTCCAGGGCAAGTAATAAAAGATTTTGTTTTAATTTTTTTTTCATAATATTGTGAGCAAGAAGAAAGTCTGTTCCATCATACCAGCCTCCAGGGCAGAAAGCGCCAGCCTCCTGAGCTAAATCAAACTGGCATGGGCTCTCAGACTTCCAGGCAGCTACCATTGGTCTCTGCCTTCCATGAAGCTAAACCTGGCAGACACAGGAAGCAAAATAAATTTCCACTTACTTTATAGGCCAGTTTTTTGCTCTCATCAATTAATTATAAGGGTCTTGCAAGCCCATCTTGCATTCCCACTGTTCCCTATTAGGATGTTGGCAAGCAGCCTCTCACCAAAGACACAAAGCTAGAAAGTACACACACACACACACACACACACACACACACACACACACACACACACACACACACCAGTGCTTAGATTTAGATCTCATGGTGCAGCCCTTAGGTACTGTTCACTGATCACAACCCTCAGTGTCACCCACTTTAAATTCCCTAAATCAGTAAAGTTATTAAGATACATGAGCATTTAAGTTCAAATTGTGGAATCAGAGAATTCAAACATTTTTTGTTTCTGTTTTGTTTTTGTTTTTGAGACAATATCTCACCAGGTAGCCTAGGCTGTCCTTGAATTCACAGCAATCCTCCTGCCTAAGCATCTCCAGTGTTGGAAATACAAGTGTGTGTCATCAAACCTGGCTGACAATTTTTATTACATTATGTGTGTGTGTGTGTGTGTGTGTGTGTGTGTGTGTGTGTGTGTGTGTGTGTGTGTGTGTGTGTATCTGTCACCGGAATGCACACCATGGTGAATATGTGGAAATCAGAGGACAACTTGCAGAAACAGTTCTCTTCTTCCACATCAGGGATTTAACTCAGGTCATCAGGGTTGTTAGTAAGGTCAAAAGGAGCTTCAGTTGGATCTTGCTCTTAGGTTTATGGTGAGGATTAAATGGGGCAAAATAAGAAGTTTAGACGAACAGTAAAGTGTGTGGCCTGAGCACCATAAATATCAACCCTGAACATTTCATATCAGAATGACACATGACCCCACAACTAGTTCTTTTGGAAAAGAACCAAAGAAAGTCAGTCTTTTTCACCAAGCAAAACATTTACTCTACTTAACCAGATAAACTTGAAATAAGTAGGTAACACAGATTTTATTTTTGAACTACGTGTTTGTTACACGTAGTATACAAAGGAATATTTTATTATTTAGATAAAATACCCTTTTAAGTGTCCTCTAAAAATATCCAAGGTCCTTCCAGCCCTAAAATGTTGTGATCTATGATAAAAATTCATAATGAAACAATTTCCCAAATATGCTGGAAATCATGGCATTATCTGACTGGGTTGACTGGAAACAACTGAGACCCAGACTGGGAGCCTGTAATGATATGGAAGAAAATATTGCCTTCTTTTCTCTCTACCAACTGAAGGTCTCAGGCTCTGCTTGGAAGTGTGGTAAAGAAAGCAAGGGAGCTGTAATCTGCAGAGAAAGAAGCATGGCAAGACTCAGAGAATCCCAAACAGTAGAGGAAGTATGTAGAATTCCATGAAATCATTCAAAACTTCACTTTCAACACTCAGGGGAGGAATTTATTTAAATGACATCATTTTAGAGATTAAAAAATTAAGAGCTGGTGATGGGACAATGGTTCAATTTGTAAAGTGCTTGCCATGCAAGCATAAGGACCCAACACCCACGTCAAAGGCAGGTGCACTGGTCCATGTCTGTGATCCCAGCATTGGCAGGGTGGAAATAGACAGATTCCTGGACCTTACTGGCCAACTGATCTAGCTGAATCAGTGACCTCCAGGTTCATCAGAGATGTGCTGTCTCAATAGTTTAAGGAAGAAAACCCTTGAGGAAGATACCTGATGTTGACTACTGGCCCCCACAGGCCCAACACACACATGTGCATATACACGGAAACACACACACAGAGAAATTAAAATCTAAAGAGATCAATTGACAAACTCAACCAAGGTCAACTGGTTTTTGTGGAACCTGAGATCTAGGAAACAGAACTGCAGCAGTGGCCAACTGTGTTAAAGCAGTCTTTGTGTGTTGTGCACACAGACATAATTAGCTTTTTTAATTTACCGAACCTACCCTGTCTATAGAAAACAGACATTGTTCATAGTCTTGGATTCAAAGGAAATGTCTGTTTTTACACACAAGTCAGTGACATGGTTCTTCCTTTAGATGTACCTTTGCACTTTGGAAATACATTAAATGTTACAATGAGAATGATGCCTCAAAACGAAAAGCAGAGGACAAGTTGTAAGCAAGAAACAGCGCGAGTATATTTTGTTTTAAGCAAGCATGTCTACTCGAATCCAACTAAAGTAGATAACAGGGTTCAAGAGTCTGGTGATTATTTAACAGTTGCATAGAACCAAATTCTTTTCTATTAACCACAATCAGATATTGGAAAACACTTAGCTCTGAGAAAACAGAGTTGAAAGCCTGCATGTCTGCTGTCTCCACTTCCTATTCCTGTGTCAGTCATAAATTTGTTCACTCTGCTCTATTTCCTATGCGTTTGTCCACTTAATTCATTCAGTTCTACTTCATTGTCATTTAATAGCTATTGAGTGCTATTAGCTATGACAAGTCAGACACTGCAACTCTGAGAGCGAGCTTTTGACACTCAAATTGAGAGAACGAGGCAGAAAGTGAAAGGAAACCTCCAAAGCTCCCCCACCCTACCCCCATAAAGCCTCTTGGTCACTCAGGAGACTAGAGAACATTCCAGATAGGGGCTGAAGGCAGCTCCTAGGCAGATGAAGGGCAGGCGGGGTCTTGGGGAAGGGCTACAGGTGACAGGCACCAGCAGTTGGGCTCTGCCTCGGGGTTTGTGTGTGACAGGAGGCAGTCCTGGCTTCAGCTGGTGGCTTTGCCTCCCGGTCAAGAAGCTCATTGGCAGCCAGGCCTGCTGGCCTCAGCCCACCCACCCGTTTCCCGGGAGAAGCCGGTCGCCCACAGCCCGGGTGCACGCACCTGGTCACGAGGCTCTGCGGAGCAGCAGCGGCCACACCCGGGTGAGGCCTGCAGAAGACGGGGCGCATCCGGGGGCGGGAACGGGAAGGTCGCGCTGGGCCTGCAGGGCGGGCCTCGGAGCCACAAGAGCTGCCCCCCACCAACCCCAGCTCCTCCCCAGCGCCCTGGGTCTGCAAGCCTGGCTTCTTCACGTGCCCTGAGAGCTAAGGATTCCGCCCTGGCTAGTAGCCCGCAGAAGATGGTGCAATTCTCCTCGCAGCGCGACTTGAGTTTTAACAGAGGCTGTGGCGGACCGACCCGACCTGGACAGGCATCTGTCTCCCTGAGCCTGGCTTAGGCTAAGTGGGGTCCTCAAGGCCTGGCATTTGGAAACCTTGGGCCGGGAATTGTCAAACTTCTCCCCAAGGGAAGCAACTGAACCGTTATTTTGGCCCTGCCGGTAATAATTCAGCACTAGGGAGGCTGAGCCAGCAAGGAGATTGCCCAGGACTTTGAGACTTAGTAAAAGCTACAGAATGAATGAGACCCTGTCTGAAAAACAAAACAAACCACCAGGTTATTTTCTCCTTTCCTGCAAGGTTGAAGGACTGTAAGGGAGGAGGTAACTGTGGAAGGCAGAGGGCGTAATCTAAACTAGGTGATCAGAAAGTCCTTTGTCTGCCTAGGCATTATAAAGTGTCCAGGAAAGAAATGTGCCTTTCCACTCACAAAGCATGTGAATTTTTAACATGTTGTGTTTTGGTAAGTCCAAATTCCTTTGCTTAGCCATACTCTTATCAAAGTTATCTTGGTGAAATACTTTGCAGTTCCTGCCTGTCCTTTTAACCACACCAAGGAAAAACTTAGGCATGTTGATACATGTGTGTATTATCTCAGAACCCGGAAGATGGAGGCAGGGGGATGGTGAGTTCCAGGCCAGCCTGGGCTGCGTAGGGAGATGCTAAGAAAAAGAAAACTCACATGCTTAGAAAAACAAGGAAGAAAAATTAAACATACACGAAGAAGAACATTCCGAGTCCTTTCGTCTATGTGTACACAACTCTCAGGTAGCAGTCCCTCTAAACATTTTCTATCTCTGTTGCCTTCCACACAGTATCACCTCTGTGAGGTATTCAAGGATCTTACAACGTGGTCCTAAATGGCCTTTCCATGAATGGTAGTATCTAGCCCCACTGGGTTTCATTTTGCTGAAACTATCTTGGATGAAGAATAAGTTGTATTAATTCTAATCTCATATGACTGTTATCTTTGTAAAACACAATTTTAAAAAATCTAGCAAAGTTGAATTAAAAACTATAAAATGACAAACTCTAGTTTTTGTTTAAAAAAAGTATACACATTGCAACAAGTAAAAAAATTGCCCTATTTTACATTTCTAGCTTCTTATCCTCAGCTTCTGTACTTAGCTCATCATGCACCAAAAAAAAAAAAAAAAAAAAAAAAAAACAAAACAAAAAAAAAAGAAAAAAACAGCCCATAGACTGTCTCTGTGACTTGTTCTTGGTGTGTCAGATGCATTAACTTCCCAGGCCTCCTCTCCTGCTGTTCTTCTCATGCTGAAAAGGTTCTCCAGCATGGCTCCAGTGTAATAATAAGAGGAGCTTAACTTTCATTGAGTGCTTTTTTTATGTTTAGGTGAATTATCTGCAGGTGTTTGTCAGCCCTATGAGCTAGGCATTATTATTATTTCCACTTTATGGATGAGGAAGCTGAGAGCTAGAGAGGTCAAGTCACACAACCAGTGAGGTCAAAGTCAACATTCTAAACTGAGCTGACTTGATTTGAGAGTCCATCTACGAAAACACTGTGCTGGTCCCTTTTCCATGAAGCCTCCCCATTAGTTCACAGAAGTTAATTACTCCATTCATGTCCCTTTATTGTAGTATCACACACACACACACACACACACACACACACACACACACACACACACACACATACACACACACTGTTTTTCATTTCATTCCCATGTTTCAGAACTGTTAAACTTCTGATATAGTGACATCAGTATATCCCCACAGCTCTTAGTGCTGTTCTCTCTGAAACACCCTGGTACCCCTGAACTTGGCTCATACAAGCCACTGGAAGTGGAGCTCTTTCTTTGTGTTACCACTCTCTTCTGGGCTTACTTCAGGTTGGAATTATTTGCTACATCTACATTCCCTACTAAGTCACGTGTCTTTTGATGCATTCATTTACCTTCCTACTATAGCTGGGGTCTGCACAGCCTCCGCTGCAAGTGCTCGTCTTGCATGCCTGCTCTGCAGCTGGTAGTTTTGCTTGGGGTTTTGGAAACTTTAGCAGGTGGAAAAACTAAATCACTCTATGCATGCTTTTGAAGGTTATACCCATAATTCCTTCCACATTCTTTGCTCCTATCTGCCTCCTCTTCTTCATGCTTCTCACTGTTGTTGGGATGTTATGTCCAAGTGCATAGAGTCAAGCGACCATGAACTCTGAATCCTTTGAAACCATAACTAAATAAACTCTTTCTTAGTTTGTTCTCTTTGGTATTTTTGTCATGGCTTCTTAAAATTAATTAATACACTTAATAAAAAGTGGTTATGCTTATTTATATAGACAAATATTCACCAATGTATAGTATATCTACTACATTCTGGTACTGAGAACAATGTCTAGCATATTGCCCATCATAAGCACTCAATACAGAGTTGTTTTAAGTCCTATAGACTGAGCTGACCAGAATATCGTATGGGTAAGGTGCAGGTGATTGGTAAAGCCAAATGCGAACAGACTGATGAAATAAATGTGGAGAGTTGGTTATACTTCCCAAGTCCTAGTTGTCTCTCATTCCTCTAATCCCAGATGTGAACAACTCTAGAGAACACAACAGGTTTGACATAAAGCATTAAGCTCATAGGAACTCCAAAATGATAGTATGTGTCACTAAAGTCAAGACTGGTATGGGCGCTGGTCTCAACCCCATAATGATGTTGTTCTTAGTTACAGTGACTATGTGGGTGATAAAGTTGAGTGCTTGTACTTAAGTAACCAAGGATCGCAATGTTTAATCGAATTACACCACCTAAAATCAAATAAATCAAGAATGTTCTGGATAGTGGCGCTGTTTTCAAGAGAATTGCTCAATGTTTATTTGAACATCCGATTCTATAATTATTTGATTAGCCTTTTAGTTTTCCTAGAATAGAAGTACCAAATTCAGCACATTTCTTTTGGCAGGGAGGTTAGAAGGGAGGGTTCCAGACAGGGTTTCTCTGTGTAACCTTGGCTGTCCTGTAACTTGTTCTGTAGACCATACTGGCCTCAAACTCACAGACATCCTCCAGCCTCTGCTTCCCAAATGCTGGGATTAAAGGCATGCACCACCACCGCCAAGTTATTAAATTTATTTACTTTTATTTTTATTAGTGTTTTGCCTGTATGTCTGTCTGTGTGAGGATTTTGAATCCTGCAGTTACAGACAGTTATGAGTTGCCGTGTAGGTGCTGAGAATTGAATCCAGGTCCTCTGGAAAAGCAGTCAGTGCAATTTCAGCACTTTTGTTTATTTCTTTTATCTGTTACGAGATGTTGGTATACTTTTAAAATACACTGATAGTATGGTGTCCTTTAAACCATCAGCCACAAAAGCTAAGCCTGAATCTTGAAGTCCATAGGGTATTACATTAAAATTTATAATTTGCCCATCAATGTTCATTTCAACACTATTTTTAATAGCTAATTTATGGTACCAAGCCATGTATCTGTCAACAGAAGAACTAATAAAAACATGTGGTATATATACACAATGGGTTTTTCAGACATAAATAATATCAAAATTATGTCATTTTCAAGAAAACTGATATAGTTGGAGCTAAGTATACTAAGCTAATTCTCAGAAAAACAGATATGGCGTGCATTCTCTTGCCTGTGTTCCCTAGATTTCATGTAGATGAATCATGTACGTATACATGAAAATAGAAGTGAAGCTGCTCAGCAGAACAAAGAAGACTAACGTGCAGGAAGAGAAGTGACAGGCTGGGGAGCACAGGAGTGGCCTCAACACTTGTATGAAACGTGACCCAGCAGCACTAACGTGAATAGATGCCAATGGAAGAAATAAAATGATTTTTAAAATATAAAAAGTAAAAATTTACAAGTTGTGTAACCACACAGATGAAAACAACGAAGTGCATCACAGAGGAAAGATGTATTTGAAAAAATTAAATATTTAAAAAATTAAACAGCTTTCATATTTGAAAGATATCATGAAATGAAAATGCCTAAGAAGGAGGAAAAATTCAATATTTACTAACATCCTGATGCTACTAAGTATCTAAAAAGCAGACTCCATGATAAATAGTTTTATGGACAGTGATAAATATAATTTTAATAGCAGCAGTGGTATGGATTTTCTCAGATATTTGGGTAGTACCTTTCCAGATGATAGTTTTTAAAGTAAAAAAAAAAAAAGAAAGAATTTAAAATGTGTGATTTTTATATATCTTCTTCCTGGCTTATCACAGCTCAAGAATTTTCAAGCTTGTGATAGTGTAATACTAATTCTGAAAAGGCTGTACTTTAGATTCCTTTACTTTGGGTTGCAATATGTGGTCTGACACTCTCTAGTCAGCCGGATATAAACAACAACTCTATCCTGAGGGTGAAAACATGAAGTGGTAAGGAAGATGGGATGGTAGTCATTAATGAAGGGGAAGGAGGTGGGAATGATCAAACTATGCTAGATACATGTACTGAATTTTCAAAGAATAAGTAAAACAACTGTTCGTTTTCTCCTATTTTGATTGGCTGATACTCAATAAGCCACATGAGCTATTCAGCATTTTATTGTAAGCACTTTTTGTTAGATGATTCCATCAATTGTAGGAGAATGAGAGTGCTCTGACTGAGGTCGAGGCAGGCAAGGCTAACCTAACATGCTCTGTAGAACAAGTGCATTAAGCACATTTTTTTTATTTCTAATGTGTTTACTGATATGTATCCCCAATACGATCCAAGAAACATTCATATCTATATACAAACAAGGATATTATTAAAAGGATATATTCATTGCTATGTTATATCTCACTTGATCTATACAAGAGATTGAAACAATGGGGACTGTTTATTTTATAATATTAAAGTCTAAATTGGGGGAAAGTCTTCATAAGATTAGAATTGTATAGGAAAGAATAGTGAAAAACATAGGAATGAAATGAACCAAAATATTAACAGAGGCTGTCTTTGTGATGACGGGATGAATATGTTTATTTCTTCTATCTCCTTGTATATTTCCACTTTTTCTAGAAACAGATTCCATTACATTTATACCAAAAACCAGTAAATGTCCTAAATCAGACCAGTAAGTAGGAAGGAATCATTAACAAGGTTGACTTTGTACTTGACTGTGGGTAAGAATACTGTGTATGAACGATAGATGATCTTCCTCTTTCCTCAGCTACGCAACATTGAGGTGGTGAAGGAAGTATCCATTGTCATATGAAAGGACTGGCTGGTTCAGCAGCTCTTGAACATGGAATATGGGTAAAGAAAGCATCAATGATTGGTACTGAAAGACCTCCACGTTTTCAGGATCAAGTCATTCTGCTAGGGCCTCTATTATATAACTCTCTGTCTGCCCAGTACAAGGGTCAATGTTACTAAGAAGAGGAGGGGCATTGCTTTTCCTGATGTCAGCAAGGAACCTAGTTGCTCTATTTGACTTCACAGATGTTACAGTAAAATAGTAACTAGACCAACCCTGGGAAGATACAGGTTTTAACTCCACTACTAAGCATATGTATGCAGTTCTGTTAGAGTTCTAAACTGTTCCCGGTCCCCCACCACACCACAGTACTTCACATCTAACTACTGAGAATTCTGTTAGATAACAATTAGCATGCATCTCTTAGTCTCCTTCTAGAATTTCCTTTTTTGGGGGGGGTCGGTGATTATCCCATTCATAGTTACTTCAGAACTAATCTTTTGGGACCATTCTCCTACATACCAGGAAACATTTAACATAGCATACATAATAATTCAGAAATAGATGTCTTAAACATAGGAAACATGTCTACTCCTTAGTTTGGATGTAAGTTTTTTCTAATGAATGGAAAGATTGTTTCCCATCCTTGGTGTGTCCACTCTTCTATAATAATTCCTTTTGGGGAACCTCTGCTCCCTCTTTCCACATGTTTCTGGAAGAATACCACCCCTACCCTCCACATAAGACTCAATCTGCCTTCTTCATGCCCACAGAAATAAGTTTGCAGATGAAAATATGACCCAATCTGGGCCAAATTTCTCCTTAAAATTTAACACAATCCACTGAAAGAGAAAGAGTGGATTCTTTGCACACATCAAAGACAGTAGATGTTGTTTTGTTTAAACATTTTTCCAGTCACAAAAAAG